GTACATAGTATAGATTTTATCACCGTTCCACAGACCTTACAGATTTGGTTTTTACGTAACGCAAGTTCTCACGTCATACCACACACTTTACAGATGTTTTGTACATAGTATAGATTTTAACACCGTTCCACAGACCTTACAGATTTGGTTTTTACGTAACGCAAGTTCTCACGTCATACCACACACTTTACAGATGTTTTTGTGTACACAGTTTAAAGGATTATCATATTACTCCATATACTTTACATACAGATGTTTTTTTGTACACAGTATAGAAGACTCTCATGTAATTCCACAAATATTGTCATTATTACCATATTTGTGCCACGAGGGCAGTTATAGTGCATTTTTTAGCGTTACTGACCGTTTGATTCGTTTTCTCTCAGGACTACACAACGGTCAACATTGGAAAGTTATTCCTGGACTCCACTGCCATGCTTCACGCTTTTGAAACTTACTGTGTTCAACAGGTAAGGATAAATAAAAAAAATCATTCTTAAACCCTGAACATATAATAATTAAAGAATCTTACTTCTACGTCTCTGTAGTCAAAGAGTCTTAACATACGAATATCAGAACTAACCAAAGCTAGCGATCTTATGGAAGTTGGATCACAGTTAAGCTTAAATGGTTTCATTGATAGGCTATTACTAGATGTCACGTGACTATTATAGCGTACACTGTCTTATATATGCTCAAAATGTAACAGCTAAAAGAAAGCATTAACCTCATTGTGACTATCAGCTAGAAGTAAGTAAAAATGTAATAGTAACCTCATATTGATGGGCACCTAGAAGTCAGCACAAATGTAATAATAACCTCATAATGACGAACAGCTACAAGTACAAATATAATAGTAATCTCATCGTAACGAACAACTAGAAGTAAGTACAAATGTAACAATAACTTCATATTGATGGACAGCTAGAAGTCAGCACAAATGTAATAATAACCTCATCTTGATGGACAACTAGACATAAGTACAAATGTAACAGTAACCCCATCGTGACGAACAGGTAGAATTAAGCATAAATGAATTTTAACTTCGATGACGAGGAACCCACTTTGAGACTAATAATGGTTGGAGACGGCTTGAATGAGTAATGAAGAAAACTTTAATATAAGTTTA